AAGACCCCCAAAACTGAATTTTATGAAAGCAAAAGACCAGTAGGTTATAAAAATGGTAGTCACCGTTGTATATGCCAAATAATGTTTGTGGAAATGTTTCAGAGTTATATTTTCAGTAAAAAAAAAAATAGTAACATTAATTTGAATGCACGCAGATGCAATATAATCTCTAATGTTTTGTAAAATTAGAAGCTGCCACTGTGCTGAGTAAATAAGTACCAAATATGTCAAGCCTCAAAATTGTGTAAAAGACAAAATACAATATCCAAAATTGTAGACAACATATTAAAACCCTTACAACTAATGAGCTTGGAGCTGAAGTGGGGATTAACCCAAAACCAAAAATGTGATTTATTGCAGTTTACCAATCCTTACAGGTGTTGGCTGCATTACTTTTCTTTTTTAAGCTTTCTTCCCTCTGTTTTCACATGGTGAGCTGGTCAGAAACACAGCTCCTGTATTAGATTGCCCCCATTCTGGATGAAGAAACAACAGAGACACCCCCTAACTGCTACATCTGTAGGACAGCTTGTTTGTTAAAAAAAATACACAGACTTATGGGCTGGATCCCCAGGTGAAAAACAAAAAAGCCTAAAATAGAAAACGAATGTAGCCACCACATTGAAGAATTGATAAGATGCAATATGTTTGCTTTTGGGCTTAATACCACTTTAACAGCAAATGATTGCCCTAGAATTATTCCTCTACCTCCAGGAAGCAGAGATACCAAAATACATTCTGGGGAAATTGGAGTCCACAAATGTAATTTTTCAAATAGTTTTGATAGACATTATAGCTGCTGTTGGTGATATTGGGCAAGTAATGCATTTCTGTGTTTATTTTTTTGTGTAGCCTCATTGTGTACTCCTTGCTTCAAAAGAAAACTCTGCCCCAGTCAAGCTTGGAGGATTTGGCGTCGCAATACAGCTGGGGGAGTCTGGCCTTGTAGCTGGAGGTAAGAACAAGAATAATTTACTGTTTAATATCATTAATAAGGAATTGATTATTAAAATACTATTGTGTAGGTTTTGTGTGTGCATTGAAAGATAAGCAAGTTTTTCATGCAACTGCATACATTTTGTACAGTTCTGCAAGTCTTCTGTCAAGTATATATTGTGGTCTGTTGACTCCTTTGGAGAGATTTAACCCCTCATTTTTCTGTGCCTGTGACAGCAGGACAAAAAAGTTAAGCGAGCAGTTAGCACTTAGGCAAGAACACACACCATAATAATAATCTGACAAAGAATCTAACCTTTCCTATGTTTGCATTTTGTATCCCCACTAAAAAGATTTTTCATCACTTCCTGTCCTGAACGGAAGTGAGGGCTGATCTCCAATGGTGATCCCAACAGCAGATTCAAACCTTGCCCAAAATGGCAAAAAAAAAAGTATTGGATCAAGTAGGGCTTTAAATGGTCATTTCATCTGCAAAAATCCAAATTTTTGGCAGATGATGGTGAGTTAAACTTGTTTCTAGCCTGTGTGGAGATTGTATGAGTGGTGCTAGACTTCTAGATGTTTCTGTTTTATAGGAGAATTCTCCAAACGATGGTCCAGTATGTCTTCCTGTAACGCCCGTAATTAACATAGTACAGCGATCTCTTAGTGTTAGTATAGCTAACTCTCAGTTTTTGAGCGGAAAAAGAATGACCATATGTACCAGGCATTAGGCTCCCATGTTTCCTCTGAATTTGAAGTTCCTATATTTTTCAGCCCACTCTGGGCTGATTTGCAATGGAGAACAGATCTGGTTATCTGTTTTGTTATATTCTGCAAGGTTACTTCATAATGCTGCCTTCATTTTACTGCCCATTCTGAAAATGCAGGGCTTAGTGTGAAGCCTGTGGTTTCATATGGAATTCATTCTGTTCATACGCCACTGCTTTACTACTGGCTTTCTTTTTCTTACTCATTCATTTTAATAACACTCTTTCGAGTCCCCAAGCCATAAAGAGCAATAAACACATTTGTAAAGCATACCGCTGTGCTTTGATTACATTTTTATTTATTTATTTTATTTTTAAACTGAGGTATCTGCATCTCTAGGAGGCTAGTTGACGTGCTTGTTCTTGAGGTCCTAGGTGTGTGTGCAAACACTTTTTTGCCATTATGAGATGTTTCCACTCACACTGGTTTGATTTTGTTTACTTTTTTTTTTATTAATGGAGATTTGAACAGAAAGTGCTGAATGAATAAACTACAAGTACCATCTGCCACCACGACAGACAGACTTGTAGTTTCAATGGACTGTAGTTTTAATGGACTGCCCAGCGATCTTGTAGTCCACTGACATATATTCTGGCTTTCAAACGGAAAGTCTGTACAGAGGAACAAGCTGAAAGCTGGAGGACATGTCTGCAGGAGCCCACATTGCACCCGTAATCTACTGGTCATGTGTTTGAATGCTTTCCAGGCTCCTGCAAAAATGAAATTATAAATGTACCTTTTTTTCTGCAAAAATCTGAACATTTATTACTTTTTCTGTAAAGATAAACATAGCATTTAAGTTTTCAAGTCATGCAAAATGCCAGGGAGTGACTCAGCCCACCAGATTCCTATCCGTATGTCACTTTTGGGTGTGATAGTCCTTTAATGTATGCAGAGAAATACAGTACTTGCTCAAAGCGTCAGGCCCCTTTCACACAGCAGACTCTGCTCCACTCAGTTGGCGATCTGTGAGTTGATCCCCTGCAAACTGACACCCATGCCTGTTAGATTCTGGCCAGTGGACCCATGTTTGCTCTACAGATGGCTTAGTATGAATGGCTTTTTACATCAGAGTGTCTCTGATCCTGACCACAAAAAACGAAAAAAGATGCAGTCCATTTTTTTTTTTCCCTGGGAAGAACTCAGAGGTAGGCGGGGTGTAAATGGACACAAGTTTGTTTAAACCCACTTGTCCGTAAGGCTTTTTGAACTTTCTGTTCAGATCTGGCTGAAAAGTGGACAGACGGACCTGATCCTGAATAGCCATGTGAAAGAGACTTTACAAGTTGCAGAATATAAGTCTGAAAATAAAACAATTGCTAGGTGATAGAGCAGAAAAGTTTTTGCATGCCCTTTCTGCCAAAAAAAAAAAAGTTGCTCTAGCAATTTTCTTGGTTTGCGTGCTCTGTATGTGCTACTAGACCTAGGGGTTAGTAAAACAACAATCATGGTCATGTGACAGGTAGCTTGCAACCCTGCTGTGCCACTAGCTCCTGACCACACTCACCCCACACCAGTCCATCTAAACTGCAGACTCTCCTTTTAGAAGGAAAAGCAGAGCTCTGCACTGCTAAAACTTGCTATAGACGGGTAGTTTTTTTCTTTTTTTTTTTTAGCTCAAATAAAGCTAACAGGTTCCTCCATCCACACAAACAAGGAGTGAAGGGTGCCTTTCCTCTTCCTGTGTAGGGCTTGCGGAAGATATGAGTGGAGAGGTGATTGAGTGAGCTTCAGACATGTCATAGATAAGGATCAAAGCCAGTGTTTTCCTTAATTACAACAGGTATATAGCAATTACACTGTGCAGTAAAGATTGCGGACCTCTGAACTCTGCATTACATAATACTGACCTCTGAACTCTGCATTACGTTCTACTGACCCATGAACGCTACATTAGGTACTACTACCCACTTAACGCTGCGTTACTACTGACCTCTGCATTCTACATACTACTGACTTGAACAAATTAAATACTTTGCAGTGTGGTAGGCTCCTGTAGTCTTTGTACTCAAGTTAGAAATTCTGGTCAATTTATCTTGATAGTAAGAGCAAAAGCCTGTATATTTCTAGCTTCTCAAAAGGACTACTTCCAAGAGGGCTTTTTTTCTACTATATATAGTGCATTCATAAAGTATTCAAACCCCCTTCCCTTTTTCAATCTTATGTTGCAGCCTGATACTACAGTTGTTCAAATTCATTTTTTTCTTATTAATCTGCACTGAGAGTACCCTATACTAACAGTGAAAACAATTTTAAAAATGTCAGTGAATTTATTAAAATGAAAAAAAAATGTAATATTCTTTTTATTGAAGCACTTTTGGCAGCAATTACAGCCTCAAGTCTTTTTGGGTATGATGCAACAAGCTTTGCACACCTGGATTGTGGGAGTTTCTGCCATTCTTTGCAAATCCTCTCAAGCTCAGTCAGGTTGGATGGGCACTGTTGGTGGACAGTCATTTTCAGGTCTCCAGAGATGTTCAAGTCGGGGCTCTGGCTGGGCCACACTAGGGCATTCACAGAGTTGTCCCTAAGCCACTCTTGTGTTGTCTTGGCTGTGTTCTTAGGATCATTATCATGTTGGAAGGTGAATCTTCAGCCCAACAAGTATATAGCTGTACTTTGCTCCATTCAGACTTCCCTCAACTTTGACCAGTCTCCCAGTCCCTGCTGCTGAAAAACACCCCTACGGCATGATGCTGCCAGCACCATGCTTTATTGTTGGGATGGTGTTGGGCAGGTGGTGAATGGTACCTGGTTTCCTCCAGACATAACGTTTAGATTTGAGGCTGAACATTTTACTGTTGGTTTGATCAGATTCTCAGTCTGAGAGTCCTTCAGGTGCTTTTTTGCAAACTCCAAGCAGGCTTTCATGCGTTTTGCACAGAGGATAGGCGCAGCCATTCTGCCATAAAGCCCAGATCAGTGCAGAGCTGCATTGATTGGTTGTCCTGGAACTTTGTCCTGTCTCCACACAGGATCTCTGCAGCTCAGTGAGAGTGACCATTGGGTTCTTGGTTACCTCTCTTACTAAAGCGTTTCTTCCCCGATTGCTCTGATCGACGGGGTGACCAGCTCTTGGAAGAGCCCTGGTTGTGTCAAACTTCTATTTGAGAATTATGGCAGTCACTGTGCTCTTGGGAACCTTCAGTGCAGCAGAATTTGTTTTGTAGCCTTCCCCAGATCTGTGCCTTGCAATAATCCTGTCTCTTGAGTTCTCCAGGCAGTTCCTTTGACCTCATAGCTTTTACTCTGATACAGTATGTATTGTCAAATGTGATGCCTTTAACTCCAGGTTCACACCAAAGCGTTTTCTGCAGCATTTTGCAGAAACGCAATACAATCCATTTAACATGATTTCCTATGGGACATGTTTACATCTGTGCGTTTTCAACCGGTGCGTTTTTTGGAAAGGGTCAGGGACTTTTTGAATGCAAAAAGTTGCGTTTTTGGTTCTATAGACTTCAATGGAAACGCTGGAGAAAATGTATTGTGGGGTTTTTTTTGTGTGCTTTTTGTCACGTCTGTGATGAGTTTTGCATTTTAAATCTGCCTAGCAGCAAGAAAATTTTTAAAAAATGAAAAAAAAAAAACCCTGCAAAAACACAATGCAGAAACGGCTCAAACACAACCTTCATAGATGTGAGAACCTAGCCTTATAGAGAGGTGTGTGCCTTTTCAAGTTATGCCCAATCAATTTAATTTACCACAGGTGGACTCCAGTCAAGGTGTAGAAACATCTCAGTAACAATGATGAGAAGTGGGAGGCACCTGTGCTAATTTTCGAGTGTTGTTGCAAAGGGTCTAAATACTTATGCCAATGTGATTTTATTTTTTTTTCCTTTTTCATAAATATGCAAACATTTCTAAAAGTCTATAAGCAATGACTAAAAAAGTACACACAAACAGCGCCATGTCAAAACATAATGTCCAATTAATGTAGAAGGATAAAAGAAAGGAAAAAAAACTTCCACCAAAAAAAAATAATAAAATTATAATGTGAAAAGTTCAAATCATTCCAGTGGTAAGTGTCTCTTTAAGACAAAGTGATCCACCATCCATGTGATCCTGCAGTGATTAACACCCCATTGGATTCAACACTCACCAGAAGCTGGTGAGTAACCAGCAGTGGAGAATTAGTAGGAATTCAATCAATTTCCTTAATAATGAATGGTTGTGAAATCTCAAACTTGATAATCAGCCAGCAACCCAAAAGGACCTCCAATCAATAGATTATTAGTATCTCATACTCCGATCTCCTCCTCATTCAAATTGGGAAATATCAATTCCATTTGTTGGCAAAATAAAACAGCCACATAGAGTGATACCGTAAAAAACTATAATTTATTGCCATAGAAAACCCCCCTTAAGAAAATCACTCACATTGAGTAACATGGTAATGTACATTGTGTATTATACTTCCAATAAAATGGCCTCTGCTCACAGCAGCTAGTGACAGTTTAACCGCACACTGGTAACTGAGATCTTAAACGATCACGTGCTCTCACCATGTGGTCCCGGCGCGTGTGTTGATGTCACAGATGGTCATGCACTGACGTGTTTTGTCATATCGACTTCCTCTGAAGGTGTTGCCCTCAGAAGTCGGATATGACAAAACGCGTCAGGGCGTGACCATCTGTAATGTCAGCACGCACGACCAGCTACACATGCTCAGTTTGGTGTGTATTATTATTATTATTATTTTTCTTTCTTGGGACAATGTATGTGATCAGCACAGAACCGATCAGCACTGTCCAGACAGAGGGTCAGGAGTCCTCCAGCCTCATAGTGGAGAATGAAAATTCTTACAAGCTCTAACCAGTGTTCTGCCGGACACTGTTAGAAGTCACAAGACTGCTCTAACTGCTGATGAGAAAAGGAATTTAACAGTTTATATTTGATAAAATAATTGCATTTCCATGTTCTATGTACTGTGGGAGACCAGATATAATGAATGCAGGGTAACACTTTAAGTGTACATCCATGGAAAGGGCCATTTTGCTTCACAGGATACACAGGTGTTCTATGCATCCGCATATACATTTATTCATGTCTGTTGGGATGCTGCAGCTGCACTCACACAGCCATTGGTCCCAATTTGACAGCTGTCCGTTTGGGGACATGTACCTGCAAGGCTGTCAGATTGTAGCTGCTTGCATATGGAGGCACATTATGTTATATTTATGATAATTTAAATCTGAAGCAAAATAGGTATGTTCAAAACATTGTGCTAAGCTTCATATTATTGAAAACTAATATATTTCCCCATCTTTTTTTTCAGGTCGTGTAGGAACACCACATTTTATGGCTCCAGAAGTAGTAAAAAGAGAACCTTATGGGAAGCCTGTAGATGTGTGGGGATGTGGTGTGATTCTTTTTATCCTATTAAGTGGCTGTTTGCCTTTTTATGGCACGAAGGAAAGGTTGTTTGAAGGCATTATTAAAGGCAAATATAAGGTAAGTTGATTTCAGAAACATTAGTTGTAATTGATTTTTCCAGATTTTATAAAATACAGTTTTCATCAGACCTCCAAGATGTTATGATTAAATGAGACTAATGGCCAAAGTTTTTTTTGGTTTTACTTCTCTTGAGGGTCACAGAAGTACATTTACTTTTGTTCTCCTGTGAACCCGAGTTAGCTTATTTTAGGTTATTACCTGCTGTCAGCTGATGGGGGCAAAGCCTCACCAGGTTTGGGAAGGATCCCAACAATATTGTCAGGATCCACCTAACTGCTTAATTGATGGGTAAATCCAATTTACGTTTGTAGCTAAGAGCTGGAGCTAGCCATGCCAGTAGTGAGCATTGGAGGAGGCAAGTGGCGACTGTGTGATCAGCGGTCTTGATAGTTCATTTCTCGATCTCACAGCTGTTGTGGGAGAGCTGTAGTGTCAAACAGTTGCTACAGCAAAGATGCATGCATGTATGTATTTTTTTTTTTTTTAATAATCCTATGCTTCTCCTTTAGGGTCACTTTGTAATGGTACTATACTATTAAAAATACTATGGATTCAAAGACCCTCTGACCAGTAGGAAAAAAAGCACATAACACAACCCTAATTATACTGTAGAACTCAGGAAGCTTACTATTTTATATTGGAGGGTTTTTTTTGTTATGTTTAACCACGCTGCCTCTTCAGATAGTCATAGCCAAGTAGACCTGAAGAAAAAAAAAATGTAAACCACAGACTTGCATCTTATAGTATACTCATACTGAAATGGTTGACAATGTAAGGTTTCGTTTAGATGTGTGGTTGGGGTGCAGCAAACGGGGATTGGGCTGCAGACGAAAGGGAGAATTTCCCACGCACACAGTACTTTTAAAGTACTGATTTGCACAATTCAGTGTTTTTTTTTTTTTTTTTTTTTTGCTCAGTGGTCCCATAAGGGTAGTTTGTACCTCTTTTGATAGTTGGCAAGAAGCCCTTCTTTAAATGTTTGATATTTGGTATACAGGAAAGTACAGCAGAGTTCATTGCCTATAAATTGTTAAAGAAATGTTGCATCAAAGGATAATTGCAGTTTTAACAAGGTGTGGTTATCCTTTTTACCCACCTCCCCTTACTTAATTTATACCACCTACCACAGATGCTTATTAAAGTGGTTGTAAAGGCTATTTCTTAAAATTGAAATTAAAAGGTGGTTATAGTTGCCTGCTGTGTACAACGATATTGCATAGTGGTCCCTTACCTCTTCTTTGGTTGTCCCCCGCCAGCACTGTCCTCTCCTTTCTTCTGACTACCCCATAGCAAGCCATGTGCTGAGAGGGCACCTGTGTGGTTGAGCTCCTGATCCAAGCTGTGTGCCTCCATTGATACACACAGCAAATCTTGGCCAGACTCCCTGCTCCATCCTCAAAGGATTTGACTGACAGCAGCTGGAACCAATGGCTCCTGCTGCTCCCAGTGTAGCCTGTGAGAGCAGAAAGAAGGGAGAGAAAAGCTGCATCCTGGGCACAGGGCTGGATCGATAGAGAACTCAGGTAAGTTATTTTTTCAGGGGTGGGGGGCATTTAGGACAGGTAGGTGACGTTTATACCTTAATGCAGGGAATGCATTAAGGTAAAAAACGGTTTAGGTTTAGAACCACTTTAACTTGTTCTTATGGCTGCAGTTTCCTACATTTTGTTTACATCCCGACCCAAATATCTTGTTGTGGTAAGAGTAAGGGGGGGGGCGCGCGTAACAATAAGTGAACTTTGTTTTTAATTTCACTGTTCCTTTCATCACAACATGTTTAATTCATTAAGTGCTTTGTGCATAAAGACAGGTTTATGCTTTTTTTTTTTTACTTTGATGAAACCTAGAGACCGAATTCATTTGCACAGTGAATCAGAGTCACAATCTGCAGATCTGTGTCTTGTACTTGTTGTTGTGCCTCAGTGCTGACCTCTGCTGTATTTTACAACTGTGCACACTGTAGTAGCAGAATGTAGGGCTGTCAAGCATGCTCTAATCTGTATCTTGCATCATTGGGCACTGCACTCTTTCCTTCAGTAATGTTTGAATTCACATATTGGCATGAGATAAATTCAAGATATTTAAAGCTGAGCTCCACCCAAAAGGGGACGTTCCACTTTAAAGCATTGTCCCCGCTCCCCGTTAAGGATTGGCACCTTTGGGTAGCGGGTACTCAAATTTGACAGGCACCCGCTCCCACTTCTGCTGTGACCGCCTAAGGCGATCGGAAGCAGAAGTTGTCCCCCTCCCCGAAGTCTTCTGGGACATGTGACAGGTCCCAGAAGACTACAGGACCATTCACAAAGCGCAAACTATCACAGCTGGGTACCCACACTGAAGATGACGGCGCCAGGGAGAGAAGATGACAGGTGAAACCAGTTATGATGAGGACACCGCTGGATCGTGGGACAGGTAAGTGTCTTTATTTTAAAAGTCAGCAACTACAGTTTTTGTAGCTTCTGACATTTCTTTTTTTCTTTTAAATCAACTGGAACTCCACTTTAAGAAGTATATGAAAAATATTGTTACATGCAAAGCTAATTTGTTTTTGTAGTAGATTTCAACAGTTCACGTAGGGGCTAGGGTGGACATTACGTTTAACATATGGAAATGCTTCTCTTAACAGAGCACAATGATTTTAATTGGACATGAAAAAAAGCTTGTTTGCTTTGTTTCCCATTGTACTTTAAAGCTCTTTCCCTGCTGGTATAACAGATACCCAGAGGAGAGTCAAGAGATGTCTGAAGAAATAGATTAGCTCCTGGGGAATCATTTTATTGCACTGCATGACATGTAATGCTGCCTGGCCGTGTTAACTATTTACTACAAGCATGCAGAGAAAGTTAGTTTTATGGTTTGATTACATGTGAATGAGATTTTTTAAATCCACCCCATCCTAATATTTCTGTTTTCTTACTAACAAGTTGAATCATAAACTAGGTGGAAAGGAAGTACTCATGATGAAAGTGTGTCTTTTATTCATAGAATAACCTCTGGTGATAGTAGGAATATATGGTGTTTGGGGAAAAAAAAAAACCCTAGCTGAAGTTGCCAATTTATTTGCAGTGTAGCGAGGTACAGTGTCAAAGGTTATTATGGCATATACAGTTTCTGGGAAAATGTTCTCTGATAAGCATAAGCGTGGTCGTCAATTGACCATAAGAGACAAAAGGACATTGTGTAGGATTATGACCC